AAAATAGGGGTGTTTTCAGCAAAAAACGAATAACCTGGAATGCACACAAAATACTGAATTTCGGAACAAATCGTGCATTACTTACAGCAGCAGAATACCACAGAAATATCAGACGAAACATGAAAACACTATATATTGTATTTCGGCCTGAACCCTCTATATTGCAATTCAAGGAATTAACCCCTTATGTGCATCCATTTCCCACCTTGGTATCACCCACCCCTGAAAACAAACTCTTAATACCACGCTGAAGCGTTTGGTAATAATAAACAAAAAGCACTGGAAATAGTAGTTAAAGCTACTTTTATTTGTGATCTTCGCAATGTAATCCGCGTACACTGGTCGACTGTAACGTTGAGTACCGGGCGGCGTGCGCCAGTTGACACCTGGGCTAGATCGCGTTGACACCTATTTGCTACCATTATTTTTATATTTGAATCACTCCTAAAGTAAAAGCCTCAACAGCATCATTTTATAACCATGGTAAATATTTGATTTTAATGTGATAAATACATTTGAACGTACGTTATTATATTATCAGCAAACGAATCCAGCCGTTGAGCAAACTGGCAAATGACTGCACCCCTCGCATACACCAGTGTTCCTGGCCTTTGTATTACCCCCTCGCATAGGGCTTTTTTGCTACTAGCAAATGATACATTTTACCACTCGCATATGCCGTTTTTACCACTAGCATATGGCATATTTTGCTATTTGCGACTCGCAACATGGTACTCGCATATGGCACTTTTTCTAGGTCGAACATACCTGCCCGAGTGCATCGTACTGCGAAGGTATTGTCCCAAACCATAGACCCTCTTTATGCCCAAACGCGAAGTATCGATAATACACTAATAATTATATGTAATGGAAAATGGGTTGAAATTCGGTCAGCACCTTGCAGATTTGACATATATAAAGAAAGGAAATGAAAGAAAGCGTTCGAAAGCAAAGTGAAAAGACAGCACAAAAAATTTCTATAAGCAAGCTGTTTTGAAACAATGGCTAGTTTGCCGTAATGCAAGATCACAACTTCCAGGTAACAAGACAGTATGGCTGCCTTTGTCAAGAGAAATTATCAGTTTCCACCTATTTAATGTCAGCGCTATTTAAAATTGCATGTTCCGGTTTGTAAATGCTATGCATAGGAAAGTTCACACAATACGTA